AAGCCTTGCCCTGATTTTTTAAGGCCTACATTATTGATTTTATTCACACTTTGACATTTTTGAAATTCTTTCCACTATTGTTTAAACAAGTTATCTCCAAATTCTCTGACCACCTACCTCTAAAAATAACAATTATGAATATATTTTATTTGCAATCTATTTGTATAAACTAGTATGCTTTTTTTTATATATGTACACACTAATATACATAAATTAATACATGTATTTACAAAAGATACACAAAAATAGCCATCACTAAACACAAATAGAAGTCAAATTTCTAGTATTTTCTTATTGCTGCCCATCTTCAGCTGGTCTGCTCTACACTCAAATTCTGAAAAACACTACCGTAAAGTACACTCAGCACTGAACAAGATGTCACAGAGGAGGACCTACCGTATTAACAAGCAAATTGTTCTGGCACCAACTCAAACTCACATATGCATGCATTTTAAGGTTTCAGTTGTAAATTGTCTTTAAGTCAGTATATCCACTGTGTACACATAGCTCATATGGATATTTGCAATACATCACACAAACACAACTTCAAGGAGTCGTGTGCCAAAAGGTGGTATTACAGGGATATTGTCCTTGAACTTTTGGGCATCAAAATTAATGACTTATAATCTTCAAAGGAGGGTTTCTTCTATTAGGATTTCTGTTTACTCAGTTTCCTACCTCAAAGGATCTTTTTTACAGAAAGTTAGGACTGTTAAATGATAACATTGGCTTGTATTTATGATCATTTGCTTTCATTTAATCCTCACAAATAATCCCACAAAGTAGAATCTGTGACAATTTTCATTTTACAGATAAGAAAATTGACGCACAAAGAGTTAGAGGCCTTAGTTTATCTTTTAGACATTCTTAATGATATCTAATTTCAAATGTAAAGCTATTTCAGGGAGATTGTTGCACTATCAAATGAGAAATGAGATTTTGTTTCAGAGAGCTTAACTTAAATATATCCTATTTTAATTATTTGAAAGATAGTTACTTTGTGTGCCAATTTACCTTCAGATGCATCTGTTTTATCAAATTGACAATTAATTGATAAAACCAAATATCAGAATGTAGGCCATGTCAACTGCTGTTTTTTTTATACTGTGGTCTCATTATATGACCACTTAATTAGCAACTTTTTTGTGTGATTCTGTACTCTTAGATCATCTTTCTCAGGTGGTACTACTGGTTTTCGAGGGAAAAAATCATTTTTGGAAGGAGTGTACTACTTACTGTAACGCCATCATTCCTCCTTCCACTGAACACCAGGAACAATTCTCACAGTTTATCGCCAGTCATAATTTGCAATCCTCTCATCATTGAGATCCACTGTGCTAATGAACGACTCAGATCACAAACTGGAAACTTAAATATTTAAATAAAAATATAAAATCATCTGCAAAGTGACATTTTATATCTCGAACTTGTAATGATTCAAGGAATTCTTTCATTCCATATATAATGTAATTTTTATTTAAATCAATGTTTAATTAACTAATACTCTACTGAATGTAACTAACAATACATACTCTTAGAAACTGATATGTCTCCTGCTATAAGTTGTAGATATTGTTTATTCTTCAACTACGAGATTGTTGATTAATAAATCCCATAGTTATTTTATAATTATTAATTATGATTATTATTAGTACTTTTGCTATAGGCACATGGGCTTGCCAGAGAGAAACAGAGGGAGAGAGAAAGGGAAAATGAGAAATCAACACCCTCTGTAGGGGGCAGCCACAATGCAGTCCCTCCTCCTTCAGTCTCCTCTTGAGAGTTCAGGTATAAATACACATGTGCCCATTTTAAGCTGCGGGGTCCAGTACTCAAACCACATGGTCATCTATGTGGGATCCAGTCACCTCATTCTCCATGCCACCTGCTGACCCCCCATAATTATTTTAAAAAATAAACCAGTCAAGTTAGCAACTTGAGCAATTGAACAAACCAGACCAAAATTATTTCTTATCAAACCCCAAAACTTAATTTCTTATGAGTTAAAAATAAGAGAATTATAACAAAGAAGAAAGATTCTGTTGTTTTTTTTCCTGATTGAATTGCAAAAACAGAGTTGTAATGTTTAATCTAATCTCTAGTGACATGATTGTCCTTTAGGAGAAAAATGAGAAGGTATCTATTATTACATAATATGATAACTGAACTGAATATGTATTCATGTACACCAGGTTTTTTTTTTTAATGATAAAAAAATGACAGTTCCTTAAGGAAGAGATGTCACAGTAAATGAAAGACCTTTTTGCTCATGGTAAAGAAAAACAAGAAAGCCCATCTGAAGGAGGCAGCAAGTTTAGGAAAATGAAAGCTGCTATTAAATGTGACAGGTTGTCACAACAACAGAAACAATAATCAGTGTAATCATAGCAATAAAATAATATTTGTATTTAGTTTCTTTCAAGAAGTTAAAAAAAAGGACATCTTTTCTCAGTTAATGGTTTTAAATAACGTGGGAAAAATGGCAGCAATTCTAATAAAAATCTCTAAATGTGCAGCATATTAGCATTATTTAGAGTCATTACTCCACATGTTTTTGTGTTTCTTCAAATATCTTTTAAGATAATTTCATTTATATCCTTCTTTCTTTACCATACATGGCAAAGAAAAAAAAAAGGATATTATTCTCTTTATAATCCATGATATTTGAAACTGGCTTCCTATTACTTGGCTTCAATAAATTCATAATCAGCTAAAATTGCATTATTTTAGTGGTTCACAACATATAATAACATCTGCATTTCTTGTAAATATTTCCCCTATTGTAACAATACCATTTCTTTCAGAACTTTAAATAAGAATGTCATATATGATATGATTACCTCCGCCTGGTATTCAGTGACCCACCAACTTCACCATTATTATCCCACATAATGATCAAACACCGTGATGTGGAAACACCTTTCACAGGAAACATTGCATGGAGGCACACATTAACTTTGTGTCCAATAAATATTCCATGCAGTCACAAAGGAGAAGTTAGTGGCTCTGTTCCTTGAAAGTTACCTCAGAGAATTTTCTAGGCTAGCACTTGGAACTTTTGCCACATCGCTTAATGTCTCGGAGACTCCAGCCTTGTCTAACAGAACTACTTTACTAGGGTCCCATAAAACGAGCAACACAGCTGGTTTACACACAGTCTGTGATTTTCTTCCTATGTTTTCAATAATCCAACACACAAAGCGTGGACCTCACTCCTTCCAGTGCACACTGTACTTTTGTTCTTTCATAAAAACATTTCAGAAGGTTGGAGGAATGCCAGCTTTTCTTCACCAACAGCTTTCTCTTTGGAACCAAGATGTATAGAATGTGGTTACTTGATCCCTTTAGTTCTGACCCAAGTTCAAACAAGCCTCAAGTGTTATCTGGTCTGTGGTGGAAAGTTTGTATCAAGAAACACAGCCCAGTCTCTTCACAGACATAGAACTTATTAGATCTTGTAAGACTCCAGGACTCACCCGAAGCTGCTTGGCCTGATGGGAGTTCCAGAGGGCCTGAATGAGATGCATGCCTTACAACCCTTAGTCCAACTTACTTTCAAGGTACTATACGTTGCATATTCCTTTTCTGAAATTCTTGTGACAGGAAGTATTTCCGAGTTGAGATTTTTTTCAAATTTTGGGAAATTTGCATGTACGTCAGGAGATATTTGGGGATGAGACTCCAATTTAAACGTGAAATGTGCTTATGTTTCTAAAGGTAATTTTACGCAATGCTTTAGTGTTGCAGTATTTTGACCATGACTATGAGGTCAGATGGGGAATTTTCTACTAGTGATGTCAAAAATTTTGTATTTTGGAGCATTTCAGGTGTTGGATCTTTGGATAAGGCATGTTCAACCTGAATATTAATTTCTGCTTAGCTAGACCATAACAATTACCAGTGCGGTTATCTGTATGGTTATTACATGCATGTTCGATTTTCTTTCGGATAATTTTAATATCCGGCAGATCATTGAGACACCAAATTATAATGTATTCTTCCAAAGTACAGGGTTCCTAACTCACATTTAGAGGGAGGATAGCTATCTCTCAGCAG